TTCGAAAATGGTCCGTGGGAATATTGAGATGGGAATGCAGGGGTGCATTCTGTCCAGCCTATAGCTAGGTGCCTGCGGAGTGAGTACACGCACCGTAGAATGACGCGTGATACAAGTTGATTGGTACTCACCTGCGGCGCCCCTCCAACCAACTCGCCCTCCTCTTGTGTCGCCGCCGACGCATCATCATATCTCGCATGTATCCGCGCGTTCGTGAGTCGTGGTGAAGGGACGAAGGCGTGGGCTCGCGTTGGTACGCCGTGGGCAACAGAGAGGATCGTGGCCGTTCAGTACGCGTGCGCGTGCTCGTCATTGCCGCGGAGTCAAGGAGGGCACACCAGAAAGCGCATGGGCTGGTGCGAGGGTCGTCGAGGTCGGCAGAGCGCGCTGGGGTGGTTGAACGAGGGGGGGAAACGTATGGAAGCTAAGTGTATGCGCCCTGGGGCGACGCGCAATACCGGGCGACTGTGACTCACCTACAGCACTGATCCAATGCCATCCCTCCTTCCCTCCCTCCTCCTGGAGTGCCGTCACCGCCGAGTCGCAATCTCCTGCATGCGTTCGAGCATTCGTGAGCCGTAGTGATCGGGCAAGAGAGTGGGCGGCGGATAGGGTGGGTCTGCATGGACAGCTCGACGCGTTGGGCGCTGGGAGGGTGATGGTTCCGGCTGAACAGCGCGGGCTCGCATTCGTACGCCGCGGGCAACAGAAAGAACCGCATTCATAAGGCAGGTACGCATGTAGGCAACGCGAGAAGGTTGGGAAAGACGGTGGACGAGATGAAGCGAGAAAGGAAGTGGCTCGGTCAACGGCGGGCGCATCTCAAAAGGAAGAAACGTACGGTGACGATAAAGCCTGGTGCGCGTTAGGTGTCAGGTCAGTTGGCGTGGACGTGTAAAGACAAAAAATCAGCCGTACCCTCGTTGTATTTGAGGGCGGTCATCGCGACGCTGTGAATCACGAACAGCGGCACGAAGCACAGATATGAGTACTGCAAATGAAAGAGATAGCAACAAGCAACGACGAGGAAGAGAATGCGCGCACGGCCATGACGCGCTTGAACGTGGCGGGCTGGTGACCGGAAGACCAGCGGAGGCACTGGAAGCGGTCGTAGCTCTATAGATGGTATGTGAGAAACACCTGGAACTGGGCGCGGGGAGAGAATGCGTGCGTAAGCAGTGACCGACGACAATGCAGAGAGGACGCACGAGGACGGAGAGGATGGCCCAGAGGAAGGCGGTCGGGGACGTGGTGTTCATGCGGGGTCGGCGCGGCGCCCTTATACGAGCAACATTGTGTTCGGTCGCCGGAGATGCGGGCGTGCGGTGGAGGGCGCGGAGATGGGTGCAAGCAAAGCAGATGGGCGAGGGCAGGAGATGAGGGCAGATGGCACAAGACATTTGCTAGTGGCAGCGTCGAGCGACGGCGAGCGACCATGGGCACCTGGTACCCATTCCATCGGTCCTCCCTCAGATATGTCGCCGTCGCCGGGTCGCCGTCTCCTGCATGCGTCGACGCGCTCATGAGCCATGTTGATTGGGCGAAGCAGTGGGCAGCGGATGGGGTGGATCTGCGTGAACGGCTCGATGTGTTGAGCGCCGGGAGGGCAGTGGCAGCGGTTGAACGACCGGGCGGGCTCGCGTTGGTACGCCGTGGGCAACAAATAGGATCGTGGCTGTTCAGTACCCGTGCGCGTGCTCATCGTTGCTGAGCAGTCAAGGAGGGCGCAGTGCGGCGCGCGATACAGAGCGATCACAGACTCACCTGATGTGTGCAAACGATCCCGCCTACGTTCGCTCTGGCCCACCTACGCGCTCCCTGATCACGAAGGACTCGCCCTCCTGCTGTGGCGCTGCTAACGACGGTGGCAATGTCTTGCAGACGACCCCGCGTTCGTGTGGCATGTTGAGGGCGAGGAAAGCATGGCCATACGCAGTGGACTCGTCTCGTTGGGTGCAGGGGATATGGCAGCGGCGAACGAATGACACGCCGTGGTGGTGAGGGAAGCGAGCGCCCGCGCACCGGTTGGCTGTACAAGGGCGCGAAGACGTTCGAGGCCCAGACGGGCGTGCGCGCAGGTCCTCAAGGCCGATAGAACCCGCTGGGGTGGTCAAACGAGAGGGAGGACGACGAAACTGCGAGTGCATGCGCCGCGGTGCGGCGCGCGATACAGACCGACGGCGACTCACCTGGTGTGTGCAAACGACCCCGCCTACGTCCGCTCTCGCCCACCTACGCGCTCCATAACATCCCCCGACTCGCCCTCCTGCTACGGCGCCACTGACGACGGTGGCCCTGTCTTGCAGACGTGCGCGCGTTCGTGAGGCTATGTTGACGGCGAGGAGGGCGTGGCCGGCCGTATGTGGTGGACGTGTGTGGTTGAGGATGAGGAGGATGGCGATGGCGAATGGAGGACGCCGCAGAAGGGCGGGAAGAGCTGCAGCAAGTTGCCTCGCATGGGTTCGCGCGTGGGTCTTCGAGGTCAGAAGAGCGCGTTGGGGTGGTCGAACGAGAGGCAGGGAGGACGCTGAAACAGTGAGTGCATGCGCCGTGGTGCGACACCCGATACAGCCTGATGGAACTCACCTGATGTAGCGTTCCTACCCGCCCTACGTCCGCTCTCCCCACCTACGCGCTCCGTGAGATCCCTGCATCGCCCTCCTGCTGCGGCACCGCTGGCGACAGTGGGCCGGCCTTGTAGACGTGCACGCGTTCGTGACGCTACGTTGACGGCGATGATAGTGTGGCCGTACGCGGTGGAGTCGTCGCATTCCGTGCGGGGAATGCGGTGGCGGCGAACGAGTGACACGGCGTGCAAACACGCCATGTTGGTGAAGGACGCGAGCGAGAGCGACGGCGACTCACCTTAAAACCCGTTGCTACCCACTCTACGTCCGCTCTGGCCCGCCTACACGCTCCCTGAGAACGAACGACTCGCCCTCCTCCTGCAGCACCGCTGACGACGGTGGCGATGGCTTGCAGACGGGCGCACGTTCGTGACGCTACATTGATGGCGAGGAGAGCGTGGCTGTATGCGGTGGAGCCATGTCGTTCCGTGCGGGGAAAGCGGTAGCGGCGAACGAACGACACGGCGTCTTTGCACGCCGTGGTGGTGAGGGACGCGAGCGCACGCACCGGTACGCTGTAGAAGGGCGAGAGCGACGGCGGCTCACCTAGTATAGCGTCCCAACCTGCCCTACGTCCGCTCTAGCCCACATACGCGCTCCCTGAGAGCCAACGACTGCCCTCCTCCTGCGTCGCCGCTGACCCATCGCCGTGTTTTGCATGCGTTCGCTCGCTCGCAAGCCGTTGTGATCGGGTGATGGCGTGCGTGCATGGCGGATGTGGGAGGCCTGCAGAATCGATTTGAGCGGGGAGAATCCGGTGGTGGAGAATGGGGAGAATTTGGTGGTGGTGGACGGGGAGAATCCGGTGGTGAACGAAGGAGGCAGTGGTTGGTAGGAGGTGGGTGCTGTAGAGCACGCGCGCGCGCGCGCTTGTTTGCTGAAGAGCCAATATCGTTCGAACGAAGGCTAATACTCACCTGAAAATTGAGAGCGGACGCCATGCTAATCTAAGCAGAAGACAGTGAGAGTAAATGGGAGGAGATAGACATGAATGAGGTCGAAGGAAGATGAGGGGAGGACGACGCGAGCACACTCACCGATCGGGGAGTCAGACGCGCTGTGCACATGAGGGGAAAGGGCACGTCGTGGAGCCTTGAAAACAGTACCGACGGACTCGAAATTTTGCAGTTGAGTCATTTAGATGTATTGCTAGGGGGCCCCAGCACCGACAAGTGAGCGGATTGTGATGCACGAGAGAAAAAAGCAAAAAGTCACCAGGACCATAACGGGCGCTTACCGACTGAGTTGAAAGGGCATCCCGTAGAAACACAAATAAATTGCGGAATAATCAGAATTTAATGAGCAGGGTGCTTGAGATGTAGAGCGAGGGGGCCCCAACAAAACCGAGGTGATAGAAGTAACTGAGGGTCTTAAAATAACCAATATTGACCAAACCACCACGGTGAGGAAACCCGCCCGATTGGGAAGCCTACAGCGCCCGTTCCGCTCAACTGGGCATTGGGGCCCCTTTGGGGCCTCCGAGATTCGAAGAGTGGCTTTCAGATGAGGATATTTTAAAGAGCATAGCACAAGAATAGAATGTGCTATGGAGGGCCCTCTGAGCATGGCCGTTAGGGGCTAACGGCTCCCGGTATATAGATAAGTTAGGAAATCTGCAGTTATGGAGGTAAACGGTTATCATGTGGACAGAAAAATAACTAAATGGTATATATCATTAATTCTTTTTTGATATGACGAAGATAAAATGTATATCGAAAGATCCTAAAAAACACATACAGTATGC